AGCCCCACAGAGGAGGGAGGGGCGGGGCGGCTGTCGCCGTGCAGCGCAGGTGTCCTGCRTCTGACCTCAAAGTGCACAAGCTTCAAACTTCAGCGTTGGCTGCGATTTTGACGCTGAAATCGCGTTMGGTGTGAACGCACCATAAGCCAATCAAGTTAGATAAAAAGCATTTTTTTTAGCAATGACAAAATTTATACAGCGCAGTGTTGTCAGATGATGCTAATGCTGATGTTGAATAGCATTTCTAGCTTCTAATTCAGCACTTAAGAGTGGCCAATTGTATTTTTTTTTCTTCAAATCAAAAGCCAACGTTAGTGTTGTGCGTCAAATTAGTCTTAGCTCAAATTAGCGTAATAATCTCAAATTTAAACACATTGTTAGGTGTCAAATAAAATTAGTAGTAATGAATGAAACCTTCTCATTACAATTATTCTAAATACAGGTTTTCTGTTTGCTTGGAGATATAATGTTGAAGTTATGGTGCAGCTAACAAGAATGCTAACTTTTGAGGTGTACTCCGTACCAATCAATCAAAAAATGCCTTACTCAGCACTTTAGTTATTATATTTTATATTTTGTTGTTTTGTCTCATTGTGCAAATGATTTCTTTTTCCCACTAGATGTGCGGCTTCTTCTCAACAATGACAACCTTCTTAGAGAAGGGGCTTCTCAGTAAGTAATATTTGATTAGAGATGCAATTTTTACAATTTGCACTGATTCACCATGTCTGTTTATGTCCCTTCTGACCATAATAATCAGTCTTTAAAGTGCTAATTTAAAACATGTTTTGAAAGCATTCTGATATTTTAAACATCTTCTGCTTTTTCTCAACTTGGCTTTTTTTTTCTTTTCTTTTTCCCCAGCTCATTCGCCCAGTACAACATGGATCAGTTTACTCCTGCCAAAGTTGAGGGATATGATGAAGCGGTGTGTTTTGATTTTTGGTCTTGTTTTTAGACGAGCAAAGCTGCAACACAAGAATCTTCAGTCTGTTTTGTCTCTCCTGTATAGGTTCTGATCACAGAGCATGGTGACTTGGGTCAGGGACGTTTCCTGGATCCYCGAAACCAGTTATCGTTCCAGTTTGACCATTTAAGAAAGGAGGTTAGCGAAGTGCAGCCTTATGAAGGAGATGGGAGTCTGAGAAGCTGGAGAGATGCCTGTGATGCTGCCCTCAGTGCCTACGTCAAAGAGCACTACCCTACAGGAGTCTGTACGGTACGGGGAAGAAAAGGATTTGGCAACTTTAAAATGAAGTATCACTGACTTCTTCCTAATCATGTGTTTTATAATATATTTTGCAGGTTTATGAGAAGACAGTTGATGGTCAGCAGACAATTATAGCCTGCATTGAGGGACATCAGTTTCAACCCAAAAACTTCTGGTATGTCTTCCAACAACTGTTTAAAATTTATCTGAATATATGTGAAAATGTGCTGTATAAAAATTATTTTAATAACATTGTTTTATTTCATCCCCCAAAAATGCCTTAATTATAGATGTCTTAGATCTTCTAAAGCTTCTGATTGTAAAAATATATATTTTTCTTTCTCCAACAAAGGAATGGCCGCTGCAGGTCAGAGTGGAAGCTCACCCTTGGTCAGTCCACTGCTCATGTGGTTGGAGTACTGAAAATCCAGGTCAGTGTGCACATTTATGTTGAAAATATGACTCATATATAACCATGAATATTTAACCTTTAGGGAGATTTATAACATTTTTTATCATTTTTTTATGTTTATCCGTTTTTTAACTATTTGTAAAACATATCCAAATATAAAATGTAACTTCATTCTCTTGTATTTTGGATCTAAATAGCATGTTTTCAAAATGTGGGGATCAAGTATTCTAAAAAATCCTTTAGGATGCTTGAATTTAAAGTGGTCTCATACTCTGAAATCCCATCTTGTCATAAATTATTTAGATAATTGTATAATATGATCAAAGTGTTTAGTTGCTTTATAGGATTAATATACCTTGTGAAGGGTGATGTTGGAAAACTGGAGTTCATCCTGCACTTGGGTCATTGTGTCCCATTAAGATAAAAAAGTGAAGCAGATACCCTTGATTGTCCAAAATCTTTCGCAGGATATTTACAGTATCTCACGGTTTAGATCTGGTTCTAATAATCAGGTTATAGTCTCTTTCTTACAGCACTTTCAAGCTGAGTGGGGGGCGCCTTCTTCCTTCACTTATGTGTTGTGTGAAATGGCTAAGGTTAATGCTGATCTTCCATTAATACACGTCTGAGCCAGCGTGCATTGTTGTCACAGACTTGGGTTGGCAAGAATATAAGAAATGCGGGGTGGTGTGTGCAATATATCTCTCAAAACAAATGCACTGTTGTCTTTTTGTTGATAGCAATGGTGGCTTCATATTGTTGAACAACCAAATGCTGTTTTATAGTGGGAATATTGTTTTGCTTCTTTATCACAGAACTATAATGTGAAATGACCTTATTGGTAAAATACCTTGTAAAGCTTATTGGAGAAACATGTCAACTCTTCATTATTTTTTAGATCTGTTTATTTACCTAAAATATCCTAAGAAAGCCCTTAAAAATAACCGTTTTGTGTCCCAAGGTGCACTATTATGAAGATGGGAATGTGCAACTGGTTAGCCATAAGGAGATAGAAGACTCCGTTGCTGTGACTGTAAGTAAAATTAATTAGTTCTGAAAAGTCACTTGGACAGCCTTTCAGCAAAGTTTGTAAGATAACTGCGTCATGTCTGATCTAAAAGGATCTTTTACTGTTTGTTTTTCAGAGTGAAACTCAAACAGCAAAGGAATTTGTTGACATTATTGAGAATGCCGAAAATGAGTACCAGGTAAGCTCCCCATTGCTTACTCTGTATTGTTCAAATCAACTTTAGAAGGTTTTATTTTTGTACATAAACACTGAAGAATTGTGTCTAAAAATACATTATGTTGACCTTACGTTGATTTCTTGGCTTTAGACTGCGATCAATGAGAACTACCAGACCATGTCTGATACGACCTTTAAGGCCCTGCGTCGCCAGCTGCCCGTCACACGCACCAAGATCGACTGGAATAAGATCTTAAGTTACAAAATTGGCAAAGAGATGCAGAACGCTTAGAGGAGGGTCAGGGACCAACCAGGATGATGCACACTCTCATGGGCCTACAACCCATCTATATATGCTCAAGGACTAACCAAAGCATAACTATATCAATATGAAGCAAGGAAATAATGAAGAAAAAAATTGTAACACAGGATTTGCAGTCTGTTAGGGACAGAAATGTTTGTCTGCTGAATGGAAAGTGCAGTTATATAAAAATAAAGTGGTCTGGAGATAAGTGTTACTTTTGAATGTGTGAGTTGTGTTGACGGTGTGCAGGGCTGTGGCTCAGGACTGCTTCTTTTTGGGGTTAAAAATAAAATCTTCCACTGTTTTAAGGAATCACAAAACTCTCCCAAGTTCAGGTTCCACTACTGTTTGTCTTAGTAACACTGATGTGGAGCTGTGAACACTGCTGTCTGCATCCAGGGCACCGAGCAGCTGATGACAGAAATCAAGCACATCATCACAAACCAGGGTTTTTGTTTGTTTGTTTTGGTCGTAGTTGCCATCTGTTGTGAAACAGAAAATCAAGTCTATTAGTAAAGGCATGATATTATTCTGAAAATAGTTAGTAGGTGCATTTAATACAAACAAAACATTTTATGAACAGCACAACCCTAGATGTGGCCCTGGCATACAAGTGCTCTCGCACCGATGTGTTTGTTGGTACCCGTTGGGTCAGAGGGAGAGTCGACTTGGCTTTTCTGTTGTGCTCCACTGAAGTCTTTCCATTCATGCAAGTTGTGATGACAAAAATGAAGAAAAAGCCACCTGAGCTGCTGCATCCATGATCCATTCTCTGTTCTCTTCCTTTGGCAACACCTCCATCGCTGTACAGCTTTTCCTTTGCATAAAAGGAAAATATTATCATATTAATCCAAATTTATTTGCCAAAATCTCTTTCCTATGGTAAAGAACTCCATTCTCCTGCTCATGTGTGTAAATTCCTAATTTAATATGCTTTTTCTTGTTCATTTGAGTCTTAGGCTATTGCGCTCATAACTGTAACAAACTGTAATAATCAATGCCAAGAGAATGCAAAGCAGCTGCCATATGGCAAGATCATTTACTGTAAATGTAACGTTACTCCTGTCAGGCCACGTCTTTCTGTATTACATGACATCTGAGTAGGCTGACTTTGGATCAGTTACCTGTTAGCTGTGCTATGTGCTGCGTTCAACCTTTACAGTGTACTACAGCTGTGTGCCGATGGGTTCAAAACTTCAAAACTGTACTGCCCCATTCTGTTCAAATAAATGTACTGAACATCTTGGTTATATTGTTTTTTTGTTGTCTTTTTTTCTGCTGTTGGATTTAGAGTCCTGTATGGTTTCTATTCAGAAGTTTGAAAGGGGAAACTAATAGTTGAACAGATCAATCAAAACAATCCTTTAAAGCAGGGGTCACTYAAACTCATTTTCATTAAGTGTTATGATAGCCCTCAAAGGACCAGTTGTAATTAACTTCAAAGTTTTATGTTTACCTGAGTAAACAAAGTGTGACGTTCTTTCTTATTGCTAAGGCCGAGCACGTCTAACACTTACTGAGCTCTATGTGGTATTTCCTGCATAGCAGCAGCATTTTAACACATCCTCTTATAAATGCTGAAATATATAAAGCATCTTATTTTGAGACTAATGCAGGGTTAAAATAAATTATTCAGGTGCAAGTATTATTATCCTTAACTTTTTAWATGTGCTTTATTTTGTTGCATTGAATCATAAATTTTAAAGTTTACCATTGATATAAAAACTATTTCCATTTTGAATTGAATAAAACTTTTTTTTCTTTTTTTTTGGCCGGCTTGACGAAAGTCACCCACAGGCTGGATCTGGCTCGCAAGGCCTTGGATTTGACACATGCTTTAAAACTTTTACATTTTTTTTTAATTAAACACCTAAACTATGGAAGGGAGTGTGTGCTACCTTTATTTCTTTATTGTTAATGGTGTTGAGGCACAAAATGCTAAACTTACTAAAATCCCACAACTTTATCATGRGACAATTTGTGTAAATAATTTGTCAGATGTGAGATATTTATAGTAGAAATCTTAAAAATTTTATTAGCCAGTATATTCAAAATGATGAATAACTCATTTGTAGAAAATACAGCATGACAGTGTAGCTTTATCTTGATTTGTGTGACACAAAATCAAGCACTGATGAATAAAAAAGCAGAAGAAAGCCATGTAGTGCAAAACATATCCCTTTTTTAGACAAGACTGTTCGTGAGGRCAAATGCATGCAATGTTCATTACCAGGAAATGCACAACACTGAACATTTGTACAGCAGTAAATGATTTGTATAGTCTATCATAAACAGACTAACGACTCGTAGAGAAAAATCTAAACCCTTTTTGTATCCTTTCTTGTAAAATGGTAGCGACATTTGTTTTTTTCTTTTTGGGTAAGGTTGAACAGTGTTTTTATAGGAACCGGATAGACAGGTTGAGTGATAACTGATCCGTGAAAACCTTGTATTATCTTTTCTTTCAAAAAGCAAAACAATTACCAGAGCTGCTTCTTTTCTACATACGGTCTCTGAACATTTTTAATATTAGATGAAACATAACTCATAAATATTTCAATTCTAAACTGTTAAACTTAGTAACTCTACCATCAAAACAGCAGTGTTAAAACAAGATACTAAATTTATTAAAGGAATCCAGAGTATATTTTCAGATAGCCTTTTTTCTAATAGTGTCTCAGGTTAGAGGTAGGGCTGTGGCAAACGCTGCAGCTGAAGTGTCTTGATTAGTTGTTTTAGGGGGCTTGAACAGGGAAATTACAGTAGCAGTTGATTTTTCAGCTCATTTGTTTAGCAGTTAGTTCGTATAACTTGGTTATTAACTACTGGAGGATAAAACCAGGTCCGATTCCGTGGCTCCCTCCTGGTTGTTGTTGTTGTGGCCACAGTTCCCCGTCAGCTCTGGGAAGAGGTTGTTCCGAGCCGAGAGACCCGGCGACCCTGGAGTCGGGCTCATCACGCCTGGCCTCCTGGCTGGACTTAGCGGGTGGGTCCTCTCTGAGCGAGGAGTGAGAGGAGAGCGAAACCCTGGAGAAAAGGGCCCAGAGGAAGGGGACCGCGGCGGAGGAGACCCTAGATTGCGGTAGTCTGTGCCGAATGGAGAGCTGCTGATCGGGGACGGCTTGACTCCGGCCTGCTGGCTGGTGAAGCGGGACAGCACCTGGGTGACGGTGTTGCGGGCCAGCTGCTTGGCTGAGCTGTGCTCCGGCGGAGGGGTGGAGCAGGTGGTCGGGGAGAGGTCTCTGGGGGAGAGGGGCCCGCCGTGCTGCTGCTGCTCCAGCTCGGCCTGACTCTGGAACTTGTGCCGGGCGGCCTGGAAGCGCTGGTTGACCCCGGCCTGGTAGGAGGACGGCAGGAAGCTCGGACTGCCCAGACGCTTGGCCAGAACCGGAGAGGTCACGGGGGAGCAGGAGAGGGAGGACGAAGCCGTGCTGGAGGGGGAGTGGGGGGGAGGGTGAAGAGGCGAATGAGGAGGCACGCCGCTTCCGTTTTCCACTCCATTTTCTGCCCCTCTCCCGTCGAGCGTCGTCGAGTCTGTCTCTTTAAGAGCGTTGAGGCCATTGGCCTTCGATGCCAGGGCGGCTTTAGGAGCAACGTTTGTCTTCGCCTCCGGTTCAGTCTGAACAGAGGTGGACACCATCACCGGGGACGGCGTCGTCTCCGTTACAGCTTGCTTCGTGTCTTCTTGAGCCAAGCTCTCCCTCAGCTCTTCCACTTGTTTTTCCAGCTCCTTCCTCCTCTCCTCCTCTGCTCGGAGCCTGGCTCTCATCTGCCCTCGCTCCGCGTCGAACTCGGCCAGCTGCCGCTCCGACTGGGCCTCCAGCCGGGCCGCCCCGCTCCTCTCGTTCTCCAGGGCGGCCCGGAGCGTCTCGAGAGCGCTCGTCTCTTCTCGCAGCAGTGCGTGCAGCTGGGAGGCCTTCTGGGCCTCCTCCTGAGCCTGGCTGTTGGCCTTCTGCAGCTCCAGGCTCAGGTTGGAGGAGAGCTGCTGCTGCTGGGACAGCGACGCCTCCACCTTGCTCACCACCTGGACCTGCTCCTTCTCCAGCCTCTGCACCGCAGCGTGCTCCACCTCCAGCTAGAAAACAGACCCAGAGAAATGCATCAAGGTGAGGAAGTGCTTCCGTATTTAACCACAAGGAGGCGACATCACACTGTTGGATTTTTTTTCTCATTTCTCAAACCATGCTACCTTTGTGACAAGATTACATTTTTGTATTGTGTCATTTCCAAAAGGTGTCTGTTAAAACTAATAAAGTAACATAATTATCAGCTGCCTCAAAAAGAAAAAGGCAGATGATGATGTTTTTGTCCATGTCATGTCATGCCATGTGTTACCAAAATATCTCAAGAAACACAGAACAAATTTGAATGAAACTTTCAGGAAATAACCTTTTGATGTGCATCTACAGCTAATCGGAATTAGCAAAAAAAAATGGCTATAACTCTGTCACTTTTACAGATAATATGCTAACATTTGATGTGGTAGTAGCTGAGAATGCCTTTGATTCTTTGATTTTGGCGCCGCTCAGTGTTGCATGAGACGGATAAAAAAAGTAATTTTCAAAGTTCAAAGAAAATGGCTACAACGCAATCTTTTCTCACCATAAGATAATTTGGATTTCATGACATGCAAGGTGACAGGCGTAAATTTTATTTTATTTTTTTTATCTTATGCCTTTTATTTTATTTTATTTTATTTTATGTTTCTTTCCCCATTTCTCTGGAATATTTAAATTTGGCAACCCGTAATACGTCTTATAAAATAGGTCCACCTGTATCACAAAGAAGAGGAAAAAATAAACAATATGTTGTTTAAGACGCAGAAAGKGGTCACATATACATGTCAAGTTGTATGAATTTTTCATAAATTACAAATTTTCCCACATTTTGCATGTTTATAGAGAATATCTTATGAGTTTTGTTTTTCAAAACTTTGCTTTAAATAACTCATAAAAGTCTCAGAGTCAGCAGGGTGTACTGAAATGCATTCCCCACTTCCTCGTCGTGCCTGCTCCTCTGCTGCAGCACAGACGCAGTTCTCTCCGCTTTAGACTTTTTGTGACCGTTTCAGATTTCTGAGGGTCAAGAGGCAACGTCAGAAGGGGTAGACATGTCACTGTCACAGTATGTCATTCATATGGCATGTTGATGGAAACTTYAGTTTGCCATGAGGTCACTAAAAGCTGACTGGTTAAAACTTTTGATGATTATTAGAAGGAAATGTAATGTGATAAAAATGCAACTGTGTGTGTGTGCGTGTGTGTGTGGTTTATGCACCATTAAAAACACCAAAGGTGGGAGATCCCAAGGAAAGAAGCTCAGGAACCCTTTGTTACATAAGGCCCCTGTGTAACAGTGTGTGTTTGTCAGCTGACCTCGCATTTGACGTGGACATCCATTATCTCGGGTTTCCTGAGGCCATAAAGCCCCCTGGCTGCTGGACAACTAAACAATGGCCTCTTCCTCATCTGTTTCTCATGAAACAGTTCTGTGCTCATGCGGATGGTAAAAGTGCTTCTGTGTGTGTGTGTGTGTGTGTGTGTGTGTGTGTGTGTGTGTGTGTGTGTGCGCGTGTGCAATGTAAAAAGACCGAGCCCTCTCCACCCTACTGAGTTACACAGCGGCTCCACGCTGAACGCATCCCTGTTCCGTCACTAAGTTTTAAATCATGGCTAGAACTAAACATAAGCGCTCTATTTTGCACTTGAGAAAATCAGTTATTTTACTAAGAACAAACTTGATAAATTTTGGGAAATCTGGTCTGTCTTTCTTAATTGGCTGGACCAAAATGATATCCAACTAGATGGGTGGAAAAAGGATTTACATAAGGTCGTATGATTACTTATACTGATGTTTTATGTTGGTTGGTCTATTGAGGGTTTGCTGCTAACTTATTTTACTTTAATTTATTTTTTATTTTTTCCTTCCCTTATACATACTGTACGTCTATTTTGGTTTGCTATGTCTGGGTTTATAATTTAAGTATGTACGTATGAGTGAATATACTGTATCTGTCTTGTTTTCTTGTTAAAATCAATAAATATATGTTTTAAAAAAATAACGTAAGCGCTTCATTTTCTCTAAAACAGCACAAAGTAGAAATTCATCCAGACACAAGAGAGGTGGACTGATTAGACTCACCTGTTGAAGCAGTTTGTCTCTTTCTGTTTCCAACATGAAGGTATAATCAGCACGCCGTGCAGAGTTCTGGGCGTGCCGCCGTTTCTCCTCCTCCAGATCAGCTATCATCTAACAAGAACACAGATGAGTGTAAAAAAATATGACTTCATGCACAGTTAGGTTTTTGGATAAGAATTCAAGTCTTGATACTAATATCAATCACTAGCAAATCATCTGACTTCGAGTCACATCAAAGCTAGAAAGTGCCTCACTCTTTGTGTCTTGTTATCAATATCAAAATACACTGTCTGGCCAAAAATAAAGCCACCACCTGGATTTAACTAAGGTCTATGATCTGAGGTTGCTGCAGATGGTCAGGTCTAGGTTCAGAAACAGTATGTTAGAGTGTGACCTTTTTTTTTTTTTTTTTTGAGGGGGGCGTTTTATTTATTTTTTATTTTATTTTTTATCTATTTATTAATTTTTTGGCCAGGCAGTATAATTCATGCATGTTCATTTTGACACACACCTTTGTCTGAATCAAGCGTGAGTCCCATTGTGATACACACCCCCCACATTACAAATCTGACACACGTTCGTAGGAACGTTCTGCACGTGGGTGTGACTTGCCACCTACCCTCCTGTGTCTGCTCTCGGCGGCAGCAAACTGTCCCATCATCCTCTCCTGCATCCTCTTGCAGTGAGTCATGACCAGTTTCAGAACAGCCAGAGGATTTGGGCCCACAGCCCGGGCCTGCAGGTGTGTTTGAGGCGGCGTGAGTGTGTTTGGTCGCTCCGCGGATTCGCTGTCCCGCTGCAGGGCCAGGAATGGATCGCTGAGGTCGTACTGTCCGTAACGCTCCTGCATGAAGGCGTCCCTGTGTTGGGCCTGGTGGACGAGCACATGACAGAAACTAGTTGGGTCCTGGAGTCCAGCAAGAGCACATTTAGTTCATTCCTGACTGAGCAGAAATCAATGTGTTTATGTAATATTTGTTGGGATCTTTCCTTTCTACTATTTAGCACAGGACATGATGTAAAATCACAGTTACAAGGTAAAAACAACTGAATTTAATGTGACTGATTTAAAAAAATGGATTTATAAGGCTTTGTGATCTTTAAAGGAATTCAAATTAAAGAAATGTATTAAGGGTTTGCTTTTATATGGATTTTAATTACACTACACATGGTATATTCTTTTATTACAAGAACAGTAATATCTTATATAATGTGGTTATTTGTTTGAATTGATGATTTTATGTAGATTCATGCCTGAACACAGATTCAACACATAACTGAACCGTTGGTCTTCATTAGGACAGAGAATATGATGAAGGCATGACTCTAGCAGCGTTAGGGGACCATCCTGATGATGCAATAAAATAGGCGGAGTCATGTCCTGAAGTTTTTGTAAAGTTGAAACGACTTCCGGAAAACGAGGCATGAACGCAGACTGAGGATAAACACTGCCTTCAGCCAGAGCGCTCTGTGTGGTTRGTTGTATGCACTCTTTTGCACATTCAATATCCTCGTATTGGTACATTTTCTGGTTGGCTCAAGCACATAAAAGGGTAAACGAACASGCTTACCAATTTTCTTTCAATATAATCCACCACATTTGAAGCCAGCATTTTAGACTAAAATGTCCAAATCGCAAAATTTGTCTGGCACAGTTCTGGCCCGTGCAGTGCAGRCAGCTCAAATGCAAAGAACGATGGCCCTTTGGTGGCCCAGATGTAGTTGCCCGAGGTGATCCATGCATAGGCCAGCACCACATTAACACAACTGGGCCAGCTGTGGCATTGACAGATTTGGGCCACATCAACTAAACCAATATTACAATATTACAATCAATATTACAATATCTTGCACAATCTGTTGGTGATCGGAACTCATCATGAAAAATAAAGTGTTGAATTTACCTAACTAAGTTATGTCAAATGGCTCTACTAAACCGAGTTTATTAAATGTAAAGCWATTTACTCAACTCRGTTTAGTGGAACCAGCTTGGTTAAKTAAATTCAAMWCTTCATTTCTTAGAGTGTGCGTAAAAATCCTTTTCTATTTACTTTCCCAATTGTTGTGAGCAGTTTTATGGCTTTTACTTACCATAAGTACTGTTCTTATGAGTGAAACGTATTTTTACCCAAGTAATTTTCTTTTAAGGTATTTTTACTTTTACTTTGTTATTTATTTCAAGTAGGCTACTTTATATCCCTCTGGTTGTAAATGACTCTCAGCTACAACCACACCAAATCTGTGCTTAATGTGTGCAAAACTGAATGAGTTATAGCAACTTTTATGTTTGCTAAGACTCCATGAGGTCCAGCCAATGATTCCACACAGCGAGACATGCAAAAACATGATCACTTTGGCGATAAAAAGCRAACAACGCAGAGTTTGTAGGAATGTGTGCGTCAGTATTTGTTCAGGAAGTCAGYGGTGCTTTAGTCAGCATGAGCTCAAGCAGATGGTCGTTCCTGTCAGCCCAAACACAAAGAGGTGAGGCACTGCTGTCCAACCCCCACAAGGGGCAGATGTTAACTCCTCCCTCGGGATGCAGGGGTGAAGGACGGGATCATTAAATCTCTTTCTCTCTCTCTCAAACACACACACGCACACACATGCACAAACACACACAAATGAGCACTTAATAAGTTATTAAATCAGCTAAAACATTTTGTTTAAAGAAAAAAAATGAGTCAGAAGAACTAGAATCTTAAAGCTAACTAAACTAACTTTACTCCACAGTAGCAAGTGTAATAAGATAGGCCCTGGCTGACCCCAGTCCTGGTCACAGTGCCACCAGGGGGTCTCATTAGCTTCAGAACCGTTAGCTGGTTTGAGGTTTGAGGCACTCGAGGTCGATTCGGAGTCAAAGTCCTACTTTTTGAAGCACATGTGAAAGACATCACACCTCGTGCCTTCAGGACACCTATACTTTTCTTCTCATGCAGTTTTCATTAGAGTCTCCAAACCACAAGCACCCGTTGTCCCTCAGCACAAACTTGACTTCTCGAGTCGGTTCACTGCAGTTTTATGGAAAAAAAAACCTCCTTCTGAGTCTGCATTTCTGTCCTCTTCTCCTCACTTGCTTTGGCACAAGTGCTGCATTTGGGCCTGTTTTATTTATTTTTTTCTGTGATGCAGTAGGCCACTAAATGCGAAAATGAGTATTAGTGCAGATATGTAGAGTTTCTGTTGGATTTCAGAGTAGAGCAGTAAAACCTCTTCATCCAGACAGAGACAAAACTGCAGCTTTCTAAGTTAACAGTCTTAGTCTACATGCCACAATCTTTAAATAGCCCATTAAGGGCTGTGTGTGCTCTGAACGCACGCGTGTGCAGAGGCCCAAACTTGGGATCTCGGTCGCTCGTGTTCTTTTTTATATTTTTGTCAGGAAAGGTCTGATCATAATGACAGGGTGTGTGCTCCTTTATGAGAGGGCACAACAAGTAAATCCAGTCGGCTTTAAAGCTCTCATCTCTGCCCAACTACTGATGATAAATATCTCCTATAGCAAGTCGTGGGAAAAAAGAAACACATTATGCAGAAATAATTTACAAAACGTACTTTTGAATTTCAAGTGTTGCTGCCTTTGAAACGGACGTGCTGGAGCACGTCACCTCCTAATGCATTCCTGCTGCTAAAGGTGTGAGAGGAAAAACCTGATGCCTTTCACCTGAAAAACTCCTCTGTCAGTCAGTTCCCTACAGCCTCAAGGAATAAATGTGGCCTTTGTGCACGGAAAAGACAGCCGAGTCCTGTTCTCTTAGTAAACCCCAAATGATTGTCACACATTGACCAGTAGTTAACAAGGAGGAAAATCACAGCTCTAAATTGTACAGATTTCACATCCCTGATAAGAAAGGAACAAATCCTCTTTATTGATGAAAATCATCTTTGAAGAACCCACATTGTGAATATGCCTAAATAAACAGATAACAGGATAAACTACATTAACTATTAAGTTAAATTTAAACAAGCCAATTAAACGATAAGTTGCATGATTTTGGACGGATAGAGGAAACAAATGCAGCTGCGGGGGGGTGACAAATGATAGGCGAGAGCATGCAAATTCCCGAATGTTGACCAAAAATTGATTTGCTGATGAAAAATCAATCCTTTAGTTGCAGACCAAGCAGGTGTGACAAAGAAATACTAAGGCAGGACTGACAAAGTAACTTCATCGACAAAATAAAACAGGAAGTAGGCATAAAACAACAAAAATTAAACAACAGAATACAATTTTAGATCTAGAACCCTGAAGCTATGACAAAACACTTATATAGTGCATATGCTAGGACTACACACTTTTACACACTATTATTATAGTGGGGCAGAATGAGAGTGACTCATTGTTTTTCCATTAACAACTCTGGCTTCAATGATGATAGAAACATTTTTTTTATTCTGTTTTGTGATTAACCTTTAATTTTGCAGGTATTATAGTTTAATTTTAGCCATTCACTTTGGTTATGTTCCGTTCAAGCAAAGATGGTGGAAAGGAAGCCACAATTGGAAAAGCTCCATTAAACACAAGCATAATATTAAAGTTGAACACTGCGTTGTCCTCAACAAGACTGGAGAGAATGAAGCTAATGAGTAACTGAGGCGTGAAAACAACATTGTACACTGAGTCAGTGAAACCACGGGTTTTGGACTGTGGAGACTTTTTGAGTAGTAGATCAGCAATTGATTTTCTTCCTTCTTAAAGTTTATTTTATTTTATTTTATTTTTTTGGACACAGATACTAAGGCCAGGTTAGATAACTGCTGTTGAGATTACTCTGTGACCCTGAAAATTGCCACATCTGAAGCATGAATACATTTGGTAAGATGTATGGGAGGCTCTGCTTTGCTGGCTGAAAGAATAAGAGAGGAGTTTGGTATTTTTGACGCTTAAAGTGAAAGTTGTTACTCTATTATTGTAAATTGCACACACTTGTTTCATTTTTGTGTTTACACTACAGTTCTTTGGACAGTGCAAACTTTAATGGAATAAAAATGGACTTTTAACATTAGCTAAATGTGTTCCATTTGTATACTTGACCCGTGAACAAGGTTTTACTCTCTTTAAATAGAGGAAAATCTGGCAAAGAATAAGAGAGGAAAAAAACAAGCTCTTCGGCTCGTGCTTTTTGAAGTATAATTAGGTCAGTGTTTATGGTTCGGGCTGTATCCTCCACACCTCCCACCCACACATTAACCACAGATGGCCCCTGAGATAACTGTAAGACACCAAACGAAACTCCTCAAAGTAATGTTTAACTGCCACAAATATTATCATCAGCAGTTAGTCATGAAACATGGAGACAGGTGAGTTCAGCCTTTGGCCAGACACTGCTTTTGGTGTAACGTTTATTAACATAAGGCGTAACAAGAAAGTCCTTTAGTTTATCTGAGTAAAAAAAAGGCAATCTGTGAGCCAATTCACTGGCAGTTATACATCTGGGCAAATCTTTATGGAAAAGTAAATAGAATCTGCTTCCTATTCTCTCAGATTGCCTGTTGCCTTGGTCTGGTCTGGCTGCTGTGGTTGTTTCGGTTTTATCTGCAGCGACTCTCCTGTTCAGTGTAAACAGCAGCGAAGGGTGTAGAAAGATATTAACCTCTGTTTGGAAGTTGAGTCTAGGCAAAAAAACAAACAAAAAAAACAGCTGTCATAAAAAAGGTATGGTTATTTAATTAGTGTTGTTGTCAACAGTCAGCCTTTGCTGTATAACAGATAAGCATCAGGTTTTGCTGTAGTCTGAAAATGCACTCAAATAGTTGACATCATACTGTATTATTCTGTCTTAAAGGCACAGTGTGTAGGATTTTGTCAATTCTTTTAGCCGAAATTGAGATAATCACTAACGACAATAATAAAAAAAAACATGTCTAATC